AGCCATGTTTGTGCAAAAATTATTTTTGGGCTACAGTACAAGTATACTCTTATTAAATTAATAAAGAAAACACTGATAAATCGGTACAAATATGAAAAATCGGGACACTTATACATACGTCCCGACTTTTAAAAAAATATTCAGCGGGACAAGTTTCTAGAAATCGGTACTATACCGCCAAAATCGGTACTAAGTGTAAACCGCACAACACTACAAAAATTTAAATGCTAATTAAAATTTCTCATTAACGAACATTCAAAAAAACGACACTCAAAGCATAACGAAATATAGGAAATAAAAAGAAAACAAGTTGAAGTTTAAAGGTTTGGTTCTCATGAGAGCAGTGTCAAAATTGCTTCTACCTGTATTTATGTATGTACCTTGATTTCAAGATTGAACTTTTTGATCGAAAAAAAAAACAAAGTGAAAAAAGCGTTAAGCCAATGACCATCACATGTCAAATAAGCATATACATAGTAGAAAACTTACATGTCGTATACGTATTCCACTTTGTTTAATACAATTCCAATTTCTATAAAGAATTGCTCGCTGATTCCGAAAATCAACTTAATTTTTTATTCTATGGATAAGTTTTCAAGATATTTTCAATTTACCGTTATTTAGCTTAAAACAAAAACGTATATTTTACGAACCAATTTAACAATCTTAATATTACATAAAAATGAAAGCTAACAAAATTCTACATGGACCGTATATACATCACATTTCGATAGGTCGACAGTTTCTGACAAATTAAATAATCATTCCAGATTTTGTTTTTTATGGAAATATGAAAACAATACACTTTTACAGCAGAGAAATTTATAAAATAACAGGTTCTGACTCAAATTTTTGCCTTTCTGATAAAACCTGTTCTGTTACGAAAAAATCAAGTTACTAATGAAGAAAACCGATGGATAAATAAAGAAGTAATGCGCAAAGATTTTTTGTATGAAATATGAGCATAAAAGCGTGCTTCTTAGGTCTACATGGCGTATCAGTATTTATTATTTGCTAAAATTTCACATATGTACGAAATACCTGTACGCATGCTGAAACTAGAAATCTTATTTAATGGCTTTGACAGTTGTTATCCCAACTTTGAAATTTTCACATTAATGATAAAGTGAGCCACTTCGTTGAAATAAATTTTTCACCGAATATTCATGATAAGGCTGATAATAAAAATCTACCGACGTATTGATAAGCTTCTCCGTTTTTTTGAATACGGTTAAAAGGAAATTTAGTATCCTCCGTATTTTATATAATTATTTTGTTGTTGTTGTTGTTGTAGCGGCTACAACAACCCCGTCCAGATCGGTTGATATCTCAGTCGTTGTCGTCAAGCTCCACTACCGGCAGCCCTAGGAAGCGTGCAGCTTCTATCGGGTCGGTCCACAAGGACAAAGCCGTTAGGGTTGTCGGGTTTTCCGGGCATGCGAAGAGATGTTTCGAGTCATGTGGGGTCTCTCCGCATGCCGGACAAACATTTGGCACATCGTCATTCAATCTACTCAGGTAGGAGTTTAAACTGCTGCAGTAGCCAGAGCGGAGTTGGAGTATTGTCGTCCGTANGGACAAGGCCGTTAGGGTTGTCGGGTTTTCCGGGCATGCGAAGAGATGTTTCGAGTCATGTGGGGTCTCTCCGCATGCCGGACAAACATTTGGCACATCGTCATTCAATCTACTCAGGTAGGAGTTTAAACTGCTGCAGTAGCCAGAGCGGAGTTGGAGTATTGTCGTCCGTATCTCCGGAGGCAGATGAAGCTCCGTCTCGTCTATGTCCGGTGGTGGTATGCCTAGAACGGCATTCACAGGTCTAGAGTCTACATAACTCGAGACTGACTCCCTGTGAATGCCGTTCAGGGCCAGTCGGTAAGCTGACGGGTCCAGAGGATGCTTGATGAACCTCTGGACTTCGTCCGTCAGTTCATATAGATGCCTCCTGACGTGCCTAGGCGAGGGCTCCTCTGCAAGCAGCTGTCTGTTTGGGTGGCCACTTCTGTGGCTCCCGATCAGGAACTGCTTGCAGAGCATTATGTTGTGCTCCTTTATGGTGATGTTCGGGCGACATCAGGAGGCATCCTGTCGCTGTCCTGAGTGCGGTGTTCTGTACAGTCTGTAGCTTCGTCCACTGCGTGCTACTAGTCCCCGGCGACCACAGTGGCCTTGCGTAGTTCAAAACCGGCCGGCCTATTGCCTTGTATGTTGCCAGCAACGTTTCTTTGTCTTTGCCCCAAGTACTGCCGGCTAGCGACTTGAGGACCTTGTTGCGGCTCTGTACTTTATTGACAATAGCGGTTGCGTGCGCAGAGAAGGAGAGCAGGCTGTCGAAAATTACTCCGAGTATTTTGGGATTATTCACCGTCGGAATTGGTGTGTCATCGACGTGAATTCCCAGCGGTAGCCTGACATCCTTCGTCCAGGTTGTGAACAGGGTCGCGGAGGATTTCATAAGGGAGAGGGCTAGACACTTTGCAGTGAAGAAGCGAGAAAGTTCGGAGAGATACCCGTTTACTTTCAAACACATGTCATCAATTCCATTCCCAGTCGCCATGATCGAGCAGTCGTCGGCGCAAGAGACAATCTAATGCAATTATGTAACTTTAACGCTTTATTTGAGCGGTAAGGGGCAATAATTGATATGTCGCCTCCACAAAATTCTTTAAACAATTTTTTTCGAACCATGTTGAGTATGTTAATTAGCGACAGCGAGCATAAGTTATTTTCGCTAGTTTAAATCATTTTTTTTCACATGCAATTTCTGTTAAAAATTTCGAGTGCTCTTTCAACAGCGCTGCTTTTAATACAATCAATTGTGCTCTGATTTGTTGAAAACGCTTTAGTGAACACAAAGTTTATAATACAATTCGAAATATGCAGTTTTACGTAACGAGTTGCTCGTTCACGGTTGTCTCGATTTGGACCCGGTTATAGGAATTGGCTAGTGCCAGTGCCGTTTACAATGAATCATAGTGCACTATAGGTAAAATGAGCCCATTTTGTGGCCAAAGCTCTCATATCAAAATACATCATTAGGCAACTCTATTAAGGATTTTGTAAAATAGACACATGAGGCCTGACAAATCGAAAATTATTTTTGATTTGTAACGGAAAATCACAAAGGTATACAGGCATGTTCTGCAGATCGTACGATTTAAAATCGGTGCGATTTGTAAAGTATTGTTCTATATTTTTAATCAAAGTATTAAATGTTTCAAATGGAAACTGCTAGAAACACATCATTTACGTTATGTCCATCGATTTAGCGCCAAATTTTTCCCTCTTTAATATAAATCCTCCGAAATAGATTTTGTAAATCGCAACGGTTTGAAATCGTACGATTTGCAGAACATGCCTGATAGGCTCTTGAACTTGCAGTAAGTGAATTATTTAAAAAATCTGTGGTATTTTGTGTCCCCATAAAAACAATCATTCGATACTTATTTTCACAAGTGGAAAAGAGTATCCATATGGCGAAGGGTGGCAACGGTAAGAAAAAAGATTCGTGTTAAATATTTTCCTCTGACTGCTAAACGATTGAAGAAAATCTAAATTCCTTGAACAAGTTAATTTGAGAGAGAAAAATACATAAATCTCATATATTATAGTGAATCTAAACGATTTCCACTAAAATGCATTACATAAAACCATTACAGATAGTTACGTACATCGATTCCCAAGACAAATTCAATAATTTCATTTGCATATATGTGCAGGTGTTGATCCATTTCTTCTTTTTTGTAGACGTGTACCATGTTAAAAATGAGATCTTATTTAAAGTATGGCACGCAGAGCGCACAACAAAAGCAAACAAACGCTCCCTATTTAACCATTTACTTGAAAATATGGGAGACACAAATATTTCGGATAGCTACAAAGACCTTTTGAATAAAAGTTCTAAGAATATTGCCAAAAACATCAACTCAAAGTAGTTTAGGCCACTGAAAACAAAAAAGCATATTTTGTAAAGAAAATAAGTTAATTACTTTTTCTATAAATGAAGCCTTGGCCTTTTTACTAGAAAATGGTTTTACGAAACAGCAGTACGTTAATATAAGGAAGTAGAAGAAGGAAAGTAAAATGAGAAACAGCAACATATATCCTTCATACAGAGACGTTGCTATTGCAAAAGGTAAATGTAGACTTCACGGTATAATAGTTTCGGAAAAATGTGTGGAAGTGCCTTTGAAAAACTTGCTGAACGGTTGCAAAGTGAGGTCGTAGAAAGTCTTATGAAGAAATACAATGATCCTATACTGAAAGCAGATCTAATACTATGCTATGGGTTTGATAGTTCGAGTGGTCATGCGAATTATAAGTGAATTTGAAGATGAAAATTATGTTAGTTACGTATACGCGAATATGCTAAATAACTTCCAATTAGAAACTGGAGAATGAGAACCTCGTACATTTGTTATGCACATTAATAATAATAATAATTTGGCGCTTACACATATGTTATGTGTTTGGCCGAGCTTCTCCTCCACACATGCAACACATAAAATAAAGCATTATTAAGTTTTTATTAGCTAATTTTGGGATTTTTAACGTTGTTGTAATGCACTTCTCTTATAATACTTTCTTCGTTAATGCTTATTATTAAAGTATTTTGGAATACAAAATATATATAAGTTTAATAAAACAATAATCGTGGCTGCGGTAAATTTTTGAAGTTGTCAATATTTCCACCACTCTTTGCTTCTAAGCTTCAATAAGCATTGCATTTTTTATGGTTTTAAGGTTTTGGCCAAAAAAAGTTGTAATTTTACCCATAGTGCAGCGATGTAACCTTGTATTCCAATTTATTACTAGTGGCACTATTATACTTTAAGAGTTTTTCTGAATACGTATTCCTAAATTAATAAGTAATCGATTTAATCATTTAAAAACTACATATCTTATAATTTATGGTTGCCCCCATGGACGAATCAACAGAAAATATATATTGGGTTACAATATTTTACCTTATACATGTTATGCTCTTTGTGCATACTCACATCTAATTCATATGCTGCTGTAGCTGTTGGAAGAGCAGATAATTTTTCAGTGTGACCATCTATCCACGATTCTTCCACTTGAACGCTTGATTGCAGATTTTTCATCAAACCGTTTACAGTTTCGCATGACCGCATCCTTGAAAGAAATTTTTGTTTTAAATATTGTGATAAATTGACAGCAACAGTATTTTTTATTTATATCTACCTCTCAGCTATTGTATTACAAATAGTAACCCAGCGAGTATTTAATCGGCCTACATTCGTGTGAAGAATTTTTAAGTCACCTAAAACCTTGGTTGGGACACCCATTCGTCCTAGTTGGTCGGCTGCGTCGTTCATTTTATCTATTTTCGGTTGAAAAAGCGTAGTTTGCTCTTGAATATCAGTTAACTGGTTATAAACCTCTTGCAGTCCTTCGTGAGTTGAAGGTAAAACCATGTGATTTGCCAATTTACTTTCAACGTCAGAAATGAAATTTTCATTTTCTTCTAATCCCATCAATGAAGTTTCTAATAATTTCAAACGATCTCTATGTAAATCGCTTTGCGTATGTAACTCATTCCATAGCTCTACCAAATTATCCAGACTCTTTTTCAAAGCAGGCGTTTTTAGTGGTATATTTCGGAAACTATTTTGGACATGTTGAATTTCGGGATCAAGTTGTCTTAAGCGACGTTCATAATCTATGTGGATTTCTTTGGCATGCTCCAATGAATCTATGTCACGAGGCAAAGGTGCTAATATTATTTTGTCTAGCTCACGAGCCATATCCTCCAACTTCGATTTGATGTTTATACATTCTTCCGTGAAGACTCGGCTTGCTTGTTTACTTTCCTCTGAAAAAGTTCAAATTATAAGATAGCGGATGATGGAAGTTTAAACTATAAGCAAATTTAACTAAACCTCTATATTTTTTACTAATGAAGAACTGTCTCATAATGAATTCTCGAAAGCAGATATGTACGGGAGTATATTGCATCCGCATATACGTACGCAACGTATTAATATACTGAAAATTTTTAAGCAAATAACGTCGTTATTTTCGAACTTCACTGCTAATATCTGGGAAAAGTAGCACTACAAATTTATTTGACGGACAATGTAGTTGTTTATTAACTGCTAATTGAAAGTCAATGTATTGCATACATAACTGGTTATACGCCTACATTTAATCAATTGATTTCTCGTCATTCTGAACTTCATTTTATATACCCGAACGCACTTGTCCACAAGGGTATAATAACTTTGTTCGCAAAGCAGAAGGTAATGTTTGCAATCATATATTATCAATAAATGATATTATTTTAAATTTGTGAAAATGGGTGTGGCACAGCCCATTTATGACTACATACGTGTATCTAGGTAACTGTTTTATCAATTTCTACGAGACTGGGTACAATTATTGCTCATTATAGAAAAAAGTTATATTTAGCAAGGTGTCATTTTTTAGTATTTTTCAAAATTGTCGTAAACATTCAAAACGGTTGAGTGGCAGTTCGAAAACGCCCTATCTCAGAAAACTTTCAAAAATGCCCTATTTCGGAATTTGATTGAAAAACGCCCCTATCTCAGAAAACTTTTCAAGAACGCACAGTGGCAGAAATCACGAAAAAACTGGTCATATATAGTAAAAATTAATCTAGAGCAGAGGTTCCCAAACTTGCTTTCAAAACTTTACTGGGCATGAATCACGTATGACGACAATCGTCTGGACGATACCGTGCTGAGATTTTCTTGTTTCATGAAAACTAAAAATTGTTCGATCGTTTGTGCTATATCGTCCACTCAATTCCAATTTTGCTTTACGTAACAGTAACAGTACCACGTAACAGCAAAATAAATGCATGAATCAGTGTTTTGACGACATCGTTTTGTCAGTATCGTTTGAACGACAAACGTTTCAAAGTTACATGATTCATGCCCTGGTTTCGGTGGACCTCGTGCTGCCTTTTCTAACATATTCCCAAAGCTCATAAAAAATGTGAAGATTAGATCTAACGATAAAAATTAGCATAGTGCGAGTTCCAAACTAAATTCGGAGTGGCAAAAATAAAAACAAAAAATATTTTCTTTCGTTCTATTTATTAAAATAATGTGACTAAACACTTGCAGGTTTAAAAAAAAAGTGCTCGTAAAGCCCTCAAAATACTATCTCGCCCTGAGGAGTTATATTTTTAAGAGCACTCCATAAACTCTTCACATGTTCGGATCGCTCCTGAATTTACATGTGGCGCATTTGTAAAATAGTTTAGTTGTGTTGATGGCATCAATTTTACTTTTGTCGCTCCGAGTTTTAAGGTGATGCGTAAAATATTCGTCACTCACATTTTTAAAACACAAAACTTGAACCAAAAGCTTGTTACGCCAAACTTTAAATTCAGAAACTGGCAAAAGAGAAAGGCTGAATGTAAAAAAATTCAAATGCTCCACCGTCTCATCCTCTTCAAGGCAGGATGGGCAAATGGAGTTGTCATTTTCCACTTGAAGTGACCAGTCAGCAGTCCAACAAGTTGTCTGCAATCCCGTCTTCTCAGTGAGAGCAAAAAACTAGATAGACCTCATGGTACAATAATTACAGGTATTGTCTTCCCAGAGAGCGCATATTCCGATCAGCCTTATTTGAAAAACATCATTGTTGCCCACACTAAAAGGTTTACTACTAGGAAAAAGGGATATTTCCATACCCCATATACCATATATGTGCACGTATTTTTTTTACACAAACCTTCTTGCAGAGGACTTATTTAATTGGCAAAAACCGAAAAAAAATTTAATTAGTAAATAAATTCAAAATTTGTATGGCTCACTTCATTTCAAACGTTTTTTCTTTTGTTTTGAAAAATTATAAAAATTAAACTGAGCGAAAACCAAAAGCAAAGCAAACTAAAAGTAAAATAGTCAACATTGAAAGGTGTCAAAATGAAAATAAGGGAGCGGAAATTTCGATGTGAAGCAAAGCTCTCTGGGAAGACAGTACCTGTAATTATTGTACCATAGATAGACCTTCTGATAGTGAAGGTAACATGAGATTTTCCCACCTACATCCCCTTGATTGCTCTCAGTCATTGCTGAGCGAAGTTTTCACCCAGTTTCTGATGGTGGCTTCGGTGGTCGAAGTGAGGAGTGCTATAACTGGTTGCGGATCGAGGAATGCCTGGTCTGAGCCAACTGTGACCAAATGGTCAGATGTCTCATTGCCAGGCACTTCCGAGGGACCTGGCACCCAACATAACTTAGTCGTGACTTGCATTGTCAAACTAGTTTGAAAGTACTTAGATAGAGGGCTTGCCAATGCCTTAAGTTCAGCTTGGCTGTCACTGCAGACACGTAAACTCCTTCTCCTCCACTTTTTTCCACGTAGTCTATGGCTTAGGGATTGTAAATATTTCAGCTGGAAGACCGAAGCATATTCCGTAAGAGAAAAGTGAAGTTTATCCCCATTAACTTCGAAAAAGATCCGAGATCTTGGCCCAGAGTCAGTATGTGAGTTCGGGTTTAGTGCTAGAATTAAACCAGCATCCCCCTCAGGGAACTCAGGATTATAGACACAAGCAATTTCTGCCTCGTCTCACTCAGTATTATACCAACATCCGTTTCTTTTTAGTCTGCAGGTGGCCTTTAAGGCTTCCCCACGTATGAAGATACAAAGTGACGGTAAGTGCAGCAGTGCGTCAAGACCACTCAAAAAAATTAAAGTTAAATAAATAGGCTGTCAATGGTTGCTTGCTTTTGTTCTTTATATATATTTTATATTTTTTTAACGCCACCGTAGACGCCCGTCGAGTCTCCCGTGGACCACTTTGGGAATCACTGATCTAGACGCTTCAAATTGGGAACACAAGCTTCTTTAGTGAATATTAGTATAAAGTGTTAATATAAACAAAATTCGGAATTTTTTTGTAAATTCAAAGTGTTATATTTGGGAAGCCCTAGCAAAGAAACAAAAGATGATAGTATCTTCCACTTAGACTCAAATTAAAGCTAGAACTCCAAAATACTGTCCCTGAAAATACCTTCCCTGCATCTTGGCCCAAAGGTCACTTATAGTCATTTATTGAACAGCAAAAACTAATTTTAACAAAATTTACTCCCAATATTTTTTTATTGTTCAATGTTTGCTACCATCGATGTTTTCGATGTTTTAAGGCAAAACATCGATATAACATCGATTGCCGTTAAAAAATAGGGCGTTTAAAGGCAAAACTAAGATGGTACTTAAAGTTAGTTGTAGCGATTTTGACAGATATCCCAAAAATAATTACGGCAAAAAGCCGCAAGTAGATTTAAGTATGAACTCACTTTTGACTATGAATACGCCCGAATAAGTTTTTGCAAATAAAATAAATCAAACGGCCTTTTGTGGAGCTATTTCCTTCCATGAAAATAATATATATGCATTCGGATCATAAATACGGGTTTTTCAAACATCTCTAAACTTGCGCCACCTAGTGGATTAATTTGTGTCTCATGTTACACTGTCATCGGGTTTTGCGCTAAGTTGAAAGTTTCGAGTCTCTAGCTCATCGTGAAGTTGGTTCGGATTGATAGCAAAATTCCAGGAGATATATGTATCTAAGTGAAGTTAAATAAATGCTTGTAAAAACGTAAAATTTTTCTTCACTGGGATTTACATAAAACTATTAAAAAGAGAACGACGGCCGCTGTAGTGTAGTGGTTAGCAGTGCGCGCTTCCACTCTGCAGTGCCTGGGTTCAAGCCCTGGTCATAGCAACATCGCACGAAAAAATATAGAAAAAAAGGTTTTTCTTCTTTACAGCGGTCGCCCCTCGGCAGACAATGACAAACCTCCGAGTGTATTTCTGCCATTAAATCCAAATCCAAAATGGACCAAATTTGATCCATTTCTTTTCGTTTGGTCCATTGGTCCAATTCTTTTTAAAATGGTCCATTTCACAAGTCTTTGGTTAGGTTATTGTCACCCTTTCAATTCATGCAATAGTTTCGCGTTTTCAATTTTTTGTATCCCTATGTTGAATATCGTCATCGTCAGTAAAAGTGACGATATGGCCATCGTCAGCCATGTTACTGTTGCGCTGACGATCGTCGACGATAACGATGACGATATTCGGCATAGGGCCGATTGGCAACACCTGCTAAAAGTGTGAACTCGCCTTGCCACTGATCTTCGAATACGGCGTGGCTAATCATCTGTCAAAGCACGCTTCAAAAAATATCGCGGTTTCTTGCTAATTTCAATTGCTCGGTGACCAATATTAAAGGGGCTGGCAAAAATATGGAAAGGTAGCAAAACTTTAGTCATAGCATTTAGCACATGAAAATAATATTCCATTTCAATCGAAAAGATATTAAACATCTTGAAATTATTACACCACATAAAGCTCTTTCTGATACTGATGTATCAATTTCGCAAATTGAGGCTGAGTGAAGGTAACTTCAAAAACTGTACCAATATAGAACGTTTTTGGAATCAAGTAAGTTTGATTAAAAATGGATTGGGTGATTGGGTGAAGCGGCCTTTGGAGAATTGTGTGATTTAGTTCATAACATTTTTAGTCTGCCGCACAGTTCCGCATCAGCTGACCACAAATTTTATGATTTAGCATTAATAAAAACGAAATTAAGAAACAAATTGTAATTGAAAACTTTAAATGAAATAATGTTAATAATATACAATTGTAATGCACTTTTCTTGATAAGGAGGAATAAACTCCACTCAATTTCCCGATGTAATAAAAATTGGTATATTTTTTACCATTTGGTCCATTTTTTGGTCCGAAAAATAAATTGGAAATGGCAACCGTGGTGAGAACATCAAGGCGCACGCCCCAAATCGCAGGAGAAGCTCGGCCAAACCT